GGTGAAAATTTCACGTCATTAGCACCTCTAGTAATATATTTACTGAGAGAAATGGTGACGTGTTCAATACTTACTTTACCTGCTGCATCATTAAAAACATGTTTGTTCAAAATGTTTGTGGTAATCAGCTAAAACTACAGATACCTGTCAGTGCTGAAATATTTTTATACACATGWATTATCTAAAGCTACTTAAAATGAAATAAAATAATTCATTCTGTTCACAAATGATGTATTCTTACCGACACATTGGTTCTTTGTGGTGATCTATCAGGTCAGTTAAAAAAAAAACACCTCTGGGAAGCTGAGATCTAACATCACTGTCAGTTTATTCAGACAACATGATACAAACATACCAAGGTTCACTGAAACAGCTGCTTCTCACAGGTGTTTCAGCTGTTTTTAATAAAGAGGTCAAATACAGCAGCAGACGTATCAGACACTTATATGACAGTTTGCAGGTTAAACTAGAAGATTCAAGACGTGGAGAAGTTTCAGGACACAGCCAGATGTATGGCTACAAACTCAGAGAGACAATAAACTTTTACATTTAATTTCACTAAAACGACCACAACCAGAGGGTTTCTCTGTGGAAACTGTCAGTATGTAACAAAGTAACCTGGGAAAGTCAAAGTGTTTAAACTCCTCTGGTTTTATTCATTCATCACGTCTGAAAAGAACCGGCTGGTTCTTCTCCCTCATCTTGAAACCTCATTAGTCCACTTGGGGCTAAATTAGGACTCCATCATAATCTGTCRTGGTGATAATCTCAGCTGAGAAAGGAACCAAAGCTAAATTCGCTCTTCAAGTTTCTAAACTTGTTTCTTAGTAAAAACGTTGGAGATGTTATGAAACTGGCTCTAATTTTTTAATGAGTTCCTGTGCACAAAAAAACAAACAAACACACAAATCAAATAATTCATAGCTCAGAAGACTTGGTTGTGTCTGGAAAGATTTTCTGAACCAGTTTAACAGTAGTGGTCCACATTTTGGAGGTGTTTGACCATTAGAAGCAGCTTCCTGCACAGTCACAGGTGTTAAAGCACAGAGACGTTCAGCTGCAGAATAAAAACATCAGAAACTCACTGATATAACACATTTAGCTGTTATCAGCAGAAACAAGTGGACATTACAGACACGCCTCCTTGTTTCCACCAGAATAAAGCCTGTCGTGTTGGAAACAACACGAGTTAACGTCATGTGGGACAACAATCTGAAGAACTCTTAATGTTCATTTGTTGGTTTTCTGGAATAAAGTTACAAAAGTTTGATCCACTTGTTGCACTGGTCCCGTTTCTTTTTTTACTTATCAAATAAAACAATAAGGATTAAAAAATGTTGCACATCCAGAGTTCAGCCACTCAGGGTCAGAGGTGACTGCTGGGACAAACAGCTGCTTCAGAACCATCCAGCTGGTCAAACTGGTCTCTGTGGGACAGCGTCTGGACTTCCAGAACCCTGAAGGTGTTTCCACACACCCCCAACTTTTCCACAAACTTCAAAGTGTTTTACTGAGAACAACACAAACTACAACATAATAACAAAGTGAAATAAAAAATCATTATATATATATA